ACAGCAACGGCGGCAGTGAACAAAGGCGAGTTGCCGGCGGTTAGCCGATCAAATCCGGCGTCGGCGATGTCCGGCTGATCGATGGGCTTAGAGTCAGCTCGAGCCGAGTCTGAGTCGAGTTTCATATATGGTAGCCTAACCAGCCGAGCTCGAGCTTCATAGCTCGGACTCGCAGCACCAGTCTCACTCAACAGCTCCGAGATCTATATCTATAGCACCCTTGTAATTCTATCAGAACAGCATGGAAGCCGTCAGAAAGCTGTCAGTCAACCGACAGCACAGCCAGTGTGCCTTACTTTAGCTCTCGCATCTTGTCCTCTCCCACCATGGCTGAGGTACTGGGAATCGTTGAGGCTGGTCTCAGTCTTCTGGGTACTGCACTGAAGGTCAAACAAGTCATTCAAGATGCACATAAAGCACCACAGGAACAGCAGAAACTACTGGCAGAGATGGAGGATCTCAAACTACTTCTGGATGAGCTCCGTCGTCACATCATTGCTAATCCATCTGCGGGTGTTCTTCGGCAGATGGCGGGTCCATTGACAAACTTGTGCAAGGATGTGCAAGACCTCACCGAAAGGTTGCAACCGGGGAAAGGATCAATTGGAAAGCTCAAAAGAAGAGTAGCATGGCCAATGAGCAACAAAAAGAAGACAGATGAGGATGTCAAAAAGCTGGAGCAATTCAAAAGCCTGATTAATTCTTGGTTGATACTGGACTTCTGGTATGTTGTGTTGATTCTTGTTCAGGTTTCCTTCTGATTTTATCCCTTCCAGGGATCAAATGGATGGTGATTGACAGAATTTTTTGTTCATTCAGATGTTGAACACTTTTCAGCTGCTAAACGGAATGCCATAATTGAATGGTTGTCCCCCATCAATTTCTTTGTTCGACAACAGGACATTTCCAAGAATCGAGAGCCAGGAACCGGTGAATGGTTGCTCAATGACCCCAAGTTCAAGCAGTGGAAATCAAGCACCGGAGCAGTTCTGTGGTGCTCTGGAATACGTGTGTACCATCAGTATATTATCAGTGCCTCAGCCTGAATAATATGTATAGCGGGTGCTGGGAAGACTGTTCTTGCGTAGGTCCCAATTCCACTGACTGATTTCCGCTCATGTATATCATTGTAGCTCTCTTGTAGTAGACCATCTAAGTGCCCTCCAAAGCAAGAATGTTGGAGTAGCATGCATCTACTTCAACCACAAGGAGACTCAGGTCCAAACCCCAGACAATCTGCTTGCCGGACTTTGGAGACAGCTTATCCCAAACCAACCTCTTGGTTCTGCACACCAGTTGTATCAGGAACATGCTGAGCGTAGGACAAGGCCTTTATATAAAGACATACACAAACTTTTGTCTTTGGCACTTCTTAGGTTCACACAGGTTTACATTATTCTTGACGGTGTTGATGAATACCCAGAAAATCAGTGGACTCTACTAGCCCAGGACTTACATGACCTGGAACGTCTCAACCTCTTTGTCCTGTCACGTCCCCATATTTCTCCACCTCAGCTGCTTCCAAATCCGGTAACACTTGAGATATTGGCAAGCCAGAGGGACATAGAGACATATGTAGAGGCACAAATCCAGTTGTCTGCTCGCCTGTTGCAGCATGTGAATAGGGAAACAGGGTTGAAGGAGGAAATTTGTTCAAAAATCAGTAATACCGTTGGTGGAATGTAAGCACTGTATTCATTGGAGGAAATTGTTTGACTAATTACCCTATCAGGTTCTTACTTGCCAAGCTTCATCTTGATGCTTTGCGCACAGCAACAAATATAAAAGAAGTTCAGCAGGCTTTACATGATTTACCGAAAGACTTGGGCCAAACATATAAAAATACGCTGGACCGCATCAATACTCTGCCACCAAATGAAAGTGAACTTGCACGATCAGCACTTATCTGGGTTGTCAATGCAAAAAGACCTTTGACCAGTGTTGAACTATGTGAAGCTCTAGCTATTGAGCCAGGAACAAAAGGATTGAACAAAAACAATATCACTGATATTGCTATCATCCTTTCTGTCTGTGCTGGTCTGGTAATCATGGAAGAACACAGTTCTTTGGTCCGACTTGTACACTTTACTACCCAGAAATATCTCGATGAAATCCAAACTAGCGACCTTGCAAATCCACATGTCAAAATTACACAGAGCTTGCTAACATATATGCAATTTGAGCAATTCTCAGACAAAAAAGCCATTAATCAGGCCAATAGGCCACCTCTCCTTGAATATTGCCAGTATTGCTTGGTCCACGCTCAAATGTGTGAAGAGCGGTTGAGAGATCCCATTATAGAGTTTCTGAAAGAGGCCAAGATATACCAAGAACAGTGGTTCCGGCATTCATGGGAATGGCAGTCTCCTCCATGGAACTTTGATTCTTGGCCTAACTCTCCCTCATCTTTATGGTTTGCAGCCTCGGCAAATATGGTGAAGATAGCGAGTTATCTCTTGGAATATGGTGGAGAATATGCTGACACTGAAGTGTTGATTGTTACGGCATATTATGGCTACGGGGACATATGTCAGCTCTTGCTTGAGAAAGGTGCAGATGTGAATGCAGAGGGAGGGTTGTATGCACTTCAGGCAGCAGCCTACAGGGGCCATCCTGAGATTGTTCAAATCCTTCTTGACAAGGGGGCAGATGTGCATGCACAGGGAGGGCTCTTTGGAAATGCACTCCAGGCAGCAGCCTACTGCGGCCATCTCGAGATTGTTCAGATCCTTCTTGACAAAGGTGCAGACATGAATGCACAGGGAGGAAAATATGGAAATGCACTCCAGGCAGCAGCCTACTGCAGCCATCTCGAGATTGTTCAGATCCTTCTTGACAAAGGTGCAGACGTGAATGCACAGAGAGGGGAGTATGGAACTGCACTCCAGGCAGCAGCTGAGGGAGGCCATTCTGAGATTGTTCAGATCCTGCTTGACAAAGAGGCAGATGTGCGTGCACAGGGAGGATACTATGGAAATGCACTCCAGCCAGCAGCCTACTGGGGCCATCTCGAGATTGTTCAGATCCTTCTTGACAAAGGTGCAGATGTGCATGCACTGGGAGGATACTATGGAAATGCGCTCCAGGCAGCAGCCTCTGAGGGCAATCTCGAGATTGTTCAGATCCTTCTTGACAAAGGTGCAGATGTGAATGCACAGGGAGGGATCTATGGAAATGCCCTCCAGGCAGCCACTGCGGGAGGCTATTCCGAGATTGTTCAGATCCTTCTTGACAAAGGTGCCGATGTGAATGCACAGGGATGGAGATATAAAAATGCACTCCAGGCAGCAGCTAACAGAGGACATTCCGAGATTGTTCAAATTCTACTTGACAAAGGTGCAGATGTAAATGCACAGGGAGGGCACTTTGGATATGCACTCCAGGCAGCAGCCTACGGGGGCCATCCAGAGATTGTTCACATCCTTCTTGACAAAAGGGCAGATGTGAATGCACAGGGAGGGGAGTATGGAAGTGCACTCCAGGCAGCAGCTTGTGAGGGCCATCTCAAGATTTTCCAGATCCTTCTTGACAAAGGTGCAGATGTGAATGCACAGGGAGGACAATATGGAAATGCACTCCAGGCAGCTGCTTACGAAGGCCCTCTCGAGATTGTTCAGATCCTTCTTGACAAAGGTGCCGATGTGAATGCACAGGGAGGAGAATATGGAAATGCACTCCAGGCAGCCGCTTACGAAGGCCCTCTTGAGCTTGTTCAGATCCTTCTTGACAAAGGTGCCGATGTGAATGCACAGGGAGGAGAATATGGAAATGCACTCCAGGCAGCTGCTTACGAAGGCTCTCTTGAGATTGTTCAGATCCTTCTTGACAAAGGTGCAGATGTGAATGCACAGGGAGGAGAATATGGAAATGCACTCCAGGCAGCCGCTTACGAAGGCCCTCTTGAGCTTGTTCAGATCCTTCTTGACAAAGGTGCCGATGTGAATGCACAGGGAGGAGAATATGGAAATGCACTCCAGGCAGCTGCTTACGAAGGCTCTCTCGAGATTGTTCAGATCCTTCTTGACAAAGGTGCAGATGTGAATGCACAGGGAGGACAATATGGAAATGCACTCCAAGCAGCAGCGTGGGGAGGCCATTCTGAGATTGTTCAGATCCTTCTTGACAAAGGGGCAGATGTACATGCACAGGGAGGGGAATTTGGAAATGCGCTCCAGGCAGCAACTGCGAGTGGCCATTCCAAAGTTGTTCAGATCCTTCTTGACAAAGGTGCAGAGGTGAATCCACAGGATGGCAATGAACTCGATACATCCACGTAGGAAGCTGGTTGAATAATAGTTGTTTACGTAGATATCTAGCATATTTAAAATCAAGTGTATGAAATATAACTTGTGGCCTGATCCAACAGTGTGATAACTATGTAGAAAGTATATGTAGTGTGCTATTCCTCTTCACTGACATCCACTGCCAGTTCTGTGTCTGCCACCCGGACAATGAGGTGTTTTATAATTACTGACCTCAACTTAGGTGTCTAACTCACACTTCTTCTGATGTTCATCACACTGGTTGAACAATTCTAGTTTTCACACAGTTTTCTCAGTGGTAACAAGAGCGCTGCGGGGCACTCTGCACCCCACTGCTTTGCTTCGAATTTCAGGGATCATAATGATGTCAGTCTGGAAGAAGCTGTACAAGCTGTTGAGACTCGAAAGTTGAAACAGGGCTGTTAAGTTTCATGTGCACGGTAAGTTTCGGCAAGTCTCGGCATACTCGGCATCACGAAGCCGAAATGTTTTTGGTGTGGTGCCGCCGCAACACATGATACCATCAGCGGAGCCTAAAAGACCTCGGACCAGCATGCACATAATTTTATAAACAGGGAGAATGCTGTTTGTTTCACACCTATTTCTCCCCTGAAACACAACAATTCTCTGTAAATCTTTCTATTCATGTGCCAAAATCCACCTCAAGTTGACTCGTTGTACACTCCGACCGCCAGGACAGTGGTACTGTACATGCTCCTAACTACCTAGATGGGAGATGCCCATGTGGCTCAACGGCCAGGGCTTCCTCTCATCCTAGCTGGTTCAAGATTTTACAGAGGAAGACGCGGGTTCGACACCCATCGAGGGCATGACCTTTCACTGTCTTCTTTTTTGTTCGTTTCCTCATCCTCTTACTTGTCGTGATTTAATTTTGCGTCTCAACCTCCTCCTCGTCGAGGATTCACGAAAAATATTGATGTTTCATTGATTCAAGAGTTGTTTGTGCTCTACCGAATATGATACAGTATTAAGGGTTACAATTCTGCGGGTCCTCGTAGCTCAACGGCCAGAGCCTGTTCTCATCTTCGCAAGTTGACCGAGAATTCAGAGAAAGATGTGGGTTGCACTCCCACCGCGGGCATGACTGATTTGTGCGTTTTTTGGTGTTTCTTATCCCCCATCAAGGTGTGTTGCTTATTTATTTATTTTGGAGGAATTTCGAGTGTTGGTTCGCTGGTTTGTTTGCACTGGATTAAGCTTAAGGCTGCGAGAAGGAGAGGACGCGAGAGATGGAATAGGTTTGTGAGCCCGAGAAAATTTGTGACATTCATTGAGATTCAGATTCGCACTTCAGTTCTATCTACCGTACACGCCCCACCCTTGCCCTTGCCTATCCCTCCTACACCCTCACATCCCACCTTTCACCCTCTTCCGCCCTCCCCGCCCGCAAAGCGATACAACATGGCGTGAGTAGTGGGAACAGTGATTAGAACATGCTGCCCTCGGGTGGCTGGGGGAGCTTGCGGTTTGCGGGGGAGGCCATTTCTCTGTTAGGTGGGTTGATGCGTGGTATGAAGGGGAGGAGAAGGGAAGGACGAGGAAGGACCATGAACGAGGGGACAAAAGGAGAGAGGAGTAGGACGAGAGGGAAGGATAAGGACGTCGAGGGTAGGGCCCAGGCGAAGGTAGGGCGGCGAAGGAATAGACAACCGTAAGACGTGGGAGGAAGTCGCAATAACGAGGTCGGAGGACGCGGATGCGCACGAGCAAGAACGCGGAAGGAAAGGGAATGGGGCAAGGATGCCAAAACAAAAGGAATACAGCCAGGAATAAAGGAAGGAAGAAGAAAAAAACGCACTTCCGTATCTCGACCAACACATGCTCGAGGCTGCTCGCGCGCGTCCAGGAGGCGAGGAAGGGGAGACGGGCGGGGTCGACGGTGCCGGTTGTGGCGGAGACGAAGGGGAGCTTCACGCGGGAGAGGGACTGGGGGCGTGTATCGAGTACCGTTTGCATAAAGATGCGTTCCGCTGGGTAGACAGACACGAGCAGAAGGAAAGCAGAAAGAAGACATCGTCAGTAAAGACACACAGCACCACAAGCAAGGTGCGCACCTGCACCGCCGGGGCAGCATCCGGATACCTCTCCGAGCACGTAATCTTGAGGTTGTAACTACGATTCTTGTGCACGGTATGCCCTGGGCTGATGATGGTGGTTGCTCATCATGATATTGTTCGAGTGGTCGAGGCCGTAGGAGTCGGAGCAGGAGCCGAATCGACACCGATGCCTTGTCGAGCTCTTCGAGGAGGCGGAAGTTGTGTAAGATGGTCTGCCTTGAGTGTGCTCAGCTACGTGCGCCTCGAGTCGTATTAGCATCCATCGAATGGAAAAGAAAGCGGAAGAGGAAGGAGAAAGAGTGACGTAACCAAGACGTAACACCACGCATCTCTCTCTTCCCGCGTCATCGTTTGTAGCCGACTCGACCTGACTCGACGCTGTTCAGCTCCACGCCCTTTCGCTCCTGGTGCTCACGCGAGCGCGCTCTCCGCGCCCATCCTCGACTCGACTCGACTGACCTGACTCAAGTACTCCCTGCTCGCCCGCCGAACACTACCGCACTGCGTTTTACCCCATTTTTTCGGCCGGCCGTTAGATGGCCGATCAAGCCATTTCGGCCACTATTTCGGCCATTTTTTGAAAGGTGGCCGATATAGGTTTTCCGCCACTCAAACGGCCGTTCTGGCGGCTGGCCGTCAAGGCTACTACGACACGCCATGCGTACTCCAGACTTTACGGTCTCAACCTCTAAGGCAAAGCGCGTCGCGTCACATTCGTGACACATCACACTTCTTGACCAGAGCCATCATGTTCGTCCTCGTGGACTTCATCCCTCGTCTCCATCGCCCATAGGCGGCCTCAATACCATCCCAAATTCTTCCTAACACTTATACCCATCACCAGCCCGACTTTCAGCCCGTTTACACGCTTCCAGCGCGCGGAAGGTGGCCTTGTTGGTGGGACACGATATCGATCCATTCCTCGATTTGTTGACTCAGGCAACGTTTTTAGGAGTCTTCCAACATTGGTACAGTACCCTCCGACAATTCTTGAGCCCAAGAAATGCATCAATACGCCTGAAATTCGGGAGTGAGATGGACCATGGCTCCCGGTGCGTCGTCGGTGCTCCCTCATATATCCTCCTCTCTCTGACTCGTTCCACAGATTCCTGTGGATGTACAATTACGACCTTTTTGTCATTTTGATGAGGCTGGCGCCATTTCTCAATCGCGGTAAGTCGGAAAAATTCCCTACGCTCATGACACTTACTACTCTCAATTGTCGGTGCAGCAAGGCCCGCCACTGCCTCATAAGCGCCCTCCGGCATCACTGCGAGACCCCAACTGCCTTCCCAGCGTGCGCCGAGGATGTATAGTACCCTGGTACGTCGGTATCTCGCCACAAATATCTGAAATATTTTGCTAACTGCTCCCTGCAACTGTAGCACGCATAGCGCATCACGCAAACGACGTTCTCCTCTATCGGTATCCGCTCGCGATTGCTTATGGGCAACCGACAATTTCTGCACTCGTGGTCTTGATCGGTATGTCTTGTATTTCGTCCCTTCGCACTCGCGCTGATTGAGACCTTTGCGTAAAGACATCTTCTGGCTTGTTCCGACATACATGTGCGCGATGGCCAGTGTCGCGCGGTTCTCGTGTGCGCACACGAGGGCGAGCGGCGGTGGGATGCATTGAGGTGTCGGCCAGTATCGGGTAATTAGCCCTCAATTTCCTTCGATATCATATACTTGATGTACAGCTCTTTCTACTTCTCGACGTTCCCTTTGCTATCTCCCAAATTCCCATGGATAGCCATTGCATATTGAAGGAGTAGTGAATTTAATTCAATGATCAATATCTAGTGGTGGATGGATGTGGCCGAAGATGTGGCCGTTAAAGTGGCCGGCAGTGTGGCCGATCGTGGCCGAAAACGCACAAAACGACCAGATGCCGGCCAGCCGATAATTTGGCCGGTATTTTGGCTGCGGTGGCCGGAAAAGCGGAAAATGGCCATCAAACGGCCGGCCGAAAAAATGGGGTAAAGCGCAGTGCCGTGCAATCCGCCCGCCCGCGACTGAACAATGCATCTGGGCAACAAGCTGCTCTCACTGCCGCTGCGCCAAGCTATCTGCCCTGGCGCGGACGGCGATTTCATGTGTCGCCCAATTTCGCCTCGTTTGCCATGCTGCTGTAATAATGATAACGCTTCGTCTCCCCGCGTCTAATCCACTCCAAGACCCAATATTAATTCCATCACATCCATCCTGCGACATCCTGCCGCCAGACCGCCTTCTTCCTATCTCGATTTCTTTTGCGGGTGCGAAAAGGCTTCCCGTGGAGTGCCCCAAAAACCCTACGGACACGCAGTGTACGCTCACCCCCTCAACCGCGTATAACATCCCATCCTCGCGCCATGTCTCTGTCTCCGCCGCGATGATGGATGTCCTCTCTCCCGCCGTCCGCGACTCCGCGTCACGAAATCAAGTGCAGCACAAACGAACTAAAGCACAAGCGCCGCCGCCGCCGTCTGTACCTTCCTTCAGGCGTTCCTTCCTCCCTCCCTCCCTCCCTCTCGCGCACGCCTCCCGTCCTACACGTCTCGTACTCGCCCACTCGCCTTCCTGCCGCCGGCCTACATCCGCATTCGGTTGCAATTCAAACCGCCCACCGCCCTCTTTTGCTTTTCCCACAAACCCTCGCCTTCCCTCCCTTCCCAAAATCCCAACCGCACCTCCTCTGCCTTCCGCGTCCCGTCCTGATACTATACCTCGCCTGCCGCTCGCGTTTCCCTTTAACTCCGTGACGCCTCCCTGGCGTCCACTCGCTCCCATCACGCTCAATCACACAGACATGTTTCGTTTCTGGGGCTCAGACATGTGCCCGTGTTTTTCAAAGTCCTAAACCCCGCGCGCTTGTTAGTTTTCTAACTTCCCTTGCATTAGCCGGCATCAACACATCCGCATCCGCCGCAACTCGATCCTGGTCCCAGTCCCAAACCCATATAACTGCACTTGAGTTCAGCGCTCTCTCGATGCGGTGATACCGCGTACGCGTGTACGTCTTGGGCCTGCTCGTACTTGCTGCTTTGGTTTGCTCATTGTTCTTTTTTCCCTGCGCAGAATTCCTACCCAGCTCTTCCAGATCGGCCGACCAATCCATGCTGCATGCATAGAACGCACATGCAGCTGCTGCTTTTTGTCGGTGCAGACTCAATTGAATAAATCCCGGTTTCTACCTTCTCCCCCCGCTTCGGAGACTACCCAGAACCGACGAACGAAAATCAATCCAAACGAAAACCAGCGCCAATTTTCGGCGTCCTCGCCGGCGTTCCTCCCTCCCTGTGAGAGCGGTGTGATGGGCTTGCTGAGCCTTGCTCGACCTGCGGTGGAACTCGACCCAAACCCAAGTTCACCCAGCCCGGACTCCGAGTTGACGTCTGTTCGAATTTGAGAGGGGTGGGCGGCGAGGGCGAGCCTGGAAGTAGGGCTGCAGGTTAAGGTTCGAGGAGAGGAGAGTACGCGGTTACTCCATACACTCCAACCCGCAGCTCTCAACCTCCGTTCGCGATGACCTACTACTGCAAAATTCAACCCTTATCCCCACGTCGAGCCGAGTCCGGATACTAGTCCGAGGTGAGTGGAGTTATTGGGACCAGAACGAGAACTAGAACGCGGTGGAGTGCAGGGAGGGGGGCGATACGAGCTGACGGGTTGGGGTGGAGGTCAAATTGGACGTTGGAAGAGAGGAAGCTTAAGGACGCGGTTGGGAAGGGATGAAATGAAAACGAAACTTACGCGGTGCAGCACGAG